GTAAGCCCTAAATACATGCACATGGTGCATTGTGGTTATACAACACGTTGACAAATACGATCACATTTAGGTTAATTGATTTCTCCCAAAAGTTCATCTGGTAAAAATTACTGTTATCTCTGCTTTAGTGATAATCAACTTGGTATTCAGAGAGGTTAAATGAATTGCCGAAGATCACTGGCTGGAAATGCACAGTACCAGTTCTTAAACTCAGCCTTTTAACTCCAAATTTCTAGCCCTGCCAGTCTTCCTGCATTAAACTAGACAAAGATTTACACACACACACACACATACACACACACATGAATATTTGATTACCTAACAAATATTCCATACCTGTCACAGAGAATGGATTGCTTCTGGGCTCTTAAATATACCATATTGAGGCAGAGGACATTTATTGTAGATTAAGATTACATAGTATGGTATTAGCTAAGAGAAAATTACAGCTTTTACATATTTTATTTCCATAAAACTACTTCAAATAAGTAACCCAAGCATTTCTCAAAATATGTCAACATTACAAAATTACTTGAATAAAGCTCTATATATGTTAAGTCATCACAACAGAAATCATTTTTCAATCAATATATATTGTACTATGCTTAGTATAGTATATAGTGTATTTAAAATACTACACAGCAATAATAGTCTATCCTTCAGTTGAAGAATTTAATCAGGGGATAAACCTTCATAATACTTAAACTAGGTTAGAAATGTATTGATCATGCTTTTAGGGGTATATTTTATGATATTTTGGCATCTTGGTGGTATTACTGATAGAACAAAGACTGCCCCTCCTGGAGCTAGCTGACTCCTAGAGATAGCAAATGACTCCCCCTTCCTCTCTGAATCAGTAAGAATATATTTTAAAGAGAGAGAGAGAGAGTGAGAGAGAGAGAAGAGTATATATGTTTGTAAATAAGAAAACATGTATTTGATGCTCTTAGAAAGTCTTATTATCTTTCATTAAAACTTGTGCAGTATAGGGAACTCCATAGATTCTCTTAATTTGAAGAAAGTTAGAGGGAAAGGTACTATTTCAGAGTTCCTTGGGAAAATGTGTCACTTATATATTTTTTTATGTTTATTTTTTTTTAAATCAAAAACTGAAATATTTTTTATTCAGAAAATATATTTGGATCTAAATGTCTTCTATAATTTTAATCCTAAAATATCAATTTAAATATTTTAAAAATGGTTGGGATATTTGTTTTTTTAAATAAGTTAGGTTACTGGAGTTCTACATGTTACTGAATCACCTGGGGTAATTTTCTGATTGAAAAATTAAGAATTATAGTCAGAGGGGAGGACATGAGAATTTTTAAAGAACATATTCAATTTACTTTAGAAGCCGAACCTCTCTTATCATGTGACTTGTTTTGTATGTTTGTTAAACTATATTATCACATAAGCATTGCTGCTATTGGGACAAACAGTGACAGTTGATTCGGGTTATTTGAATGTCCACTGTTTTAATTTGTATGTTCGTTTTGACTCTGTCATATGTTCAAACTTCAGTGGAAGTCCTGAGAACCTATTATTTTTGCCTGCTCCCTCCTTTATGTTGGAAATATTCTTTTTTACTCAGAGGGACCTTAACTTTGATGTAAGGGATTGTTTCCGTTGCCAACTTTTTTCTTCCTTGCCAAGTAAGAGAGTTGTTGTGAACGCTTCAGTGATGCCTTCCCCAGGATATTTGCAGACATGGTTGGGAAAAGTCATTTCATCCCCGACCTTTGCATGTCAGGTGCTGGGATGCTGGGGTGCCGCCTCGCCTGCGCCCCGGCTCTCTGATCACGATGCGGCTCTCTCTCACTCCGATCGCCATGGCGACCATGGGGCCGCAGGCCCGGCTTTCCGATGGCGATCACCGGCTGGGGGGCGGGCAAAGGCGGCCCTGGTTCTCCGATCCACCCGGCTCTTGCCTGCTGCCTGGGTTTCCAATCACTGTTTTCCATCCTTCCCCTTTCGCCTCCCATCATTGCGCCTATGTATGCAAATTAACCGTCATTTTTGCTGGTAGTTAATTTGCATATCACCCTGATTAGCCAATGGGAAGCATAGCGAAGGTATGGTCAATTACCCTTTTTGTCTTTTATTAGATAGGATAGAAAGAAAGGAGGGAAGGAAGGAAAGAAGGAAGGAAGGAAGGAAGGAAGGAAGGAAGGAAGGAAGGAAGGAAGGAAGGAAGGGAGGGAGGGAGGGAGGGAGGGAGGGAGGAGGGAGGAGGAAGGAAGGAAGGAAGGAAGGAAGGAAGGAAGGAAGAAAATAAAGAAGGAAAAAAGAAAGGAAGAAAGACGAAAAATCCTGATACCCAGGATGCCACCCTGAGGTTGTTTCAATTAGTGTGGGATGCTCCCCTAACACCACCAAAATAGCTTATAAAAGCTCTCCAGGTGATACACATGTGTAGTCAGAGTTAAATGCCACTGGTGTCAGAACCATTTTTTGTACTTATAGGCTAAATCAAATCTTTTTTTTTTTTTTTTTTTTTTGCAAGGCAAATATCTTTACTCCTGCAGGAGGGTGCACAGGCACATGATCTGGAAGCACACACACCTAAATTAAATTCTAAAACTTCATGAAACTCACTTTTATATAATTATTTTTCAAACATTTCAGGATTCCGGGAATATAAAAGAGTAAAATGTTCATTTACAATGATAGAATGCAAAAGTTAAAGAGAAAAAAATTAAGAGAACAATTCCACTTATAATAGCAATGAAAAGAATAAAATGCTTAGGCATTAAAGGGAAACAAGGAACCATACTTGCAATGTATGGGAAAGAGTATTTCAGGGTTTTATGGAAGGCCCTAAGGTAAGCAAAGTTTGGCATGTTTGAGGAATTGAAAGAAAACTATGACACTGACATGGAAAGATATATTAAGAGAAAAAGATTGCCAAAGAGTATGTATAATCCAATGCCATTTTGATAAGAGAGATACATAGTACACTTACGTGTATGTCAGTACATGGAAAATCAAGGAGGATTTGCAATGGGATGTTAATAATTATTATTTTGGGGCATGGAAAGAGTGAGTGGATTATAGTGGACTGTCACTTTCTACTTCAGATATGTTCTTTCATTATTTAAATTTTTGCGCAAATTAGTATTCAGGATTGACTACAGCTGAATATTAACATTAAATTCTGTATCTTTGTATGCCTCTGTTAAATAACTGTCTCAACTTTTCAGCCCTGTTCTAGCTTTGCATGTTCCATAATGTATTTTGTTCTGCCTTCTGTTGTCTCTGGCATTTTATGTATTTTTGAGAGACTTATCTATCATAAATAGAACATTACAATTAAGATTTAATGTCAAACTGATATGACAGTTTATTTTTATACATTAGGAGCATATAGGCAAAAATCTATTCTCTGATACTGAAACTAGCCTATATAATAAAAGGGTAATATGCAAATAGACCGAATGGCAGAACAACCAAACAACCAAAGCGTAATATGCTAATGATATGCAAAGGCTGCTCAACCACTTGCTATGATGTGCACTGACCACCAGGGGGTAGATGCTCTGATGGGTAGGTTAGCTTGCTGCTGGGGTCCGGCTGATCGGGACTGAACGAGATGGGCCGGACACACCCTGGAGCCCTCTTGCGGTCCCTCCATGGCCTGATCATGCACCAGTGGGGTCCCTCAGACTGGCCTGTGCCTCTTGCAATCCGGGACCCCTCAGGGGATGTCAGAGAGCCGGTTTCAGCCTGATCCTGCAGGCCACTCCCCTTGGGAGGGCGCCAGATGCAGGGCTCATGGCTGGTGAGCACTGATGTGGCAGCACGAGCCTCTCCTGATGGGGGCTGATTGGGTGCGAGCCTGCGGCAGGCACAGTGGGATGAGCGGGAGCAGCAGGTAGGAGCTGCAGGCAGCATTGGACTGTGGGTTTCGGCCCAATCCCTGCAGGCCACCCAGAGGGACCCCACCCATGCATGAATTCGTGCACCGGGCCTCTAGTATATTTTATAATATAGCAGATGCAAGTTTAAAAAATATAAAGTGCTAACTTTAAAAAGTAAGGACTACAGTATAATTTAAAAAAATCATAGCCTTTGGAAATAGGGTAGGAGGATTATTTTCCTTTACTTTAAGCATAATAATATGGGACAAAATAACAACAAAAAGGTGAGCATTTATTATGTTCTACTGTTTATATACATTATTTCAATTTGTATTTAACTTCAAAAATAACTTTGTGGCAAATATTATCCCTATTTTTCAGATCAGAAACCTGGGGATTTTGATCTGATTTAGATTAGAGGGGCTAAGTAACTTTATTCATTCAATGTCCATTTAATGAGCACTTAATTTTTTTAAAAAATATATCTTTATTGATTTCAGAGAGGAAGGGAGAGGGAAAGAGAAATAGAAACATCAGTGATGAGAGAGAATCATTGGCCACCTCCTACATGTCCCCCACTGGGGATCAATCTCGCAACCCAGGCATGTGCCTTTGACCGAAATCAAACCGGGACCCTTCAGTCCGCAGGCTGACGCTCTATCCACTGAGCCAAACAAGCTAGGGCAGCACTTAAGTTTTAAGAACTGGGAATACAGTGCACAAAACGCGAAGCTTACAACCTGGAGGCTGATGGGAGTACTGAATAAATCAACCAATATGTAGATAACGTAATGTCTGGTGCATTGCTGTGTTATGAAGAAAAGTGAAGTGGGATAGGGAAAGAAAGTGATGAGAAGGCCATATTAAGGTAGGTGGTGGGGAGTGCTTTCTGAGATGGTATGTGAGCAGTCCTGAAAGAAGGGAGGAAGTGAGAGCTGGGGAATACAAGAGCAAAAAAGAAAAAGCAAGGAGGCCAGTGTGGCTGAGGCAGTGAGCAACACAAAACCCTGGGCTCTCTGCTAAGAGCGATGGGAAGCCACTGGAGGATTTGAGCAGTGATGTGGTCAGATTTACAGTCTTAAAAGCTTACTTAGGCTGCTGGCTGGAGAAGAGACTATAGAGAAACCAGAGTAGAGAAGCAGGATGACCTGTCAGGAGCCGATTATGGTGGTTCAGGAGAGCGATGCTGGGCCGAGGCTGAAAACAGTGGAGGTGGTGAGAAGTGTCACATTCGTTTGTATTTGGATAATTTCATGCATGTTCATGGTAGTGTGGCCAGAGATGAGGTTCTATTTTGAAGGGGGAAGCAGACAGGATTGCAAAAGGTCGCACAGCTAGGGCGTGGGAGAGCCAGGATTCGTAGCTAAGTTTGTCTGATTCCAAAGCCTTGCTTATAACAACTCTTCCAGGCTGCCATAACGCGAAGCAAACATTAAGCATAAAAGCATAGAGTGAAAGTGAAAGCACATAGCGTCTCCAAGTGCTTACTGAGCACCTCTGGCTTGAAGGCTTTATGGCACCAGGCAAAACACTCCGGATGGGGGGATAGAAGATCAGGATTCAGCTGCTTCTTTTGCCATAGATTCTTCCTCCGTGTGGGTCACGTGATGTCTAATGGCCCTTCCAGCTTTAATGTTCAGAGCTGCTACTATTCAGCACCTGGGGAAATACAGCTGACTGTGTACAGTGCCGCCCACAAGCATACAAGGGAAGATAAGGCTGATAAGCATATGATTAACCTCCTGAGAGGTGGCAGGACTGGAGACTGTCTTTTCAGTTTCAATACTATTTGGTTTAGTAAAAGCATTTGTTTTGGTATATTACTTTCAAGGAAAAGACAAAGTCAGTCTGTACATGGTCTCATTCAATTTACAGGGTACCCTAGAATTTCATGCACTATCCATCCAACTATTCAAGCAGTTATTCCCGCAACAAGCATTTAAAACCTATTGAGCATTAGGCATACTCAATAGCATTTACTGAGCAAATATAGGTGAAGGCAGACCTTGGTAAAAAGTTTTTTAAAAAAAGAGTACTTTACATGTTGCTTTCTAAGATTTTACAACAATCTTTAGGGTGTTGTTGTCACCCCCTCCCCCGCCCCCTTTTCTTTCCCACATTATAAAACTAAACCTGGCTCGCACTTTCTCTTCGGAGGCCCACGCAACGAGGAGGACAGGGGTAGGGTGTGCTGAGAGCGCAACCTCCGCCCCCACGAGCCTTCTCAACAAGCCCAAGAGTGAGATGACCGCGGAGGAGCCGCAGAAGCGGCGGGGGGGGGGGGGGGGGGGGGGGGGGGAGGAAGAGTTGAACACGGGCCCACTCTCCGTGCTCACGCAGTCCGTCAAGAACAACACCCAGGTGCTCATCAACTGCCGCAACAAGAAGCTCCTGGGCCGGGTGAAGGCTTTTGACAGGCACTACAACATGGTGCTGGAGAATGTGGAGGAGATGGGGACCAAGGTCCCCAAGAGCGGCAAGGGCTGGAAGAAGTCCAAGCCAGTCCACAAGGACCGCTACATCTCCGCGATGTTCCCGCGCGGGGATTGGGTCACTGTGGGCCTGCGGCACCCACTCATCGCTGGCAAGTAGGGGCTTGCTCCCTGCTTGGCGCCAGGAGTCCCTGTGTTTTGTAGGCATTCCTCTGCGATTGACAGGCGGATCCGTGACCTAGAATGGAGGTCAGCAAACATTGTCTGTAAAAGGCCAGATAGTAAGTAGTGGATCAATATAGCGTCTGTGGCAACTACTCAGTTCTGCCCTTGTAGCACAAAAGCAGCCGGTGACAATACATAAAAGAACAAACATGAATGTGTTCTAATAGACTTTATTTATGGATACTGAAATTTAAATTTCACATAATTTGCACTTGTCACAAAATAGTATTCTTCCTTTGATTCCCCAATTCTTAGAAAATGTAAAAACCATCATTAGCTTGATTGCTGTACAAAAACAAGAAGCAGTCTGTATTTGGCCTGTGGGCTTGTGATACTGTGATTTATAATAAGAAATATATTTTAGGGCTTCGACCCCATTCCTGGCACAGAGTTCCTAAAACCCTCGTAATTCCCTCTTCTCAAGGGAGGGGAGAAGAACTGGAAGTTGAATCAATTACCACCAATAGCCAATGGTTTACTCAATCATAATTATGCAATGGAGCATTTTTAAACAGTCAGAAGACAGGGTGTGGAGAGTTTCTGCATCGGGGAGCCCATGGGGGTGCTGGGAGAGTGAGGTGCCCGAAGAGAGTGCAGAGCTTGCTCAATGAGTCTCTTCCATCTGGCTGTGCTTGGCAGGAAGGGCCTTTTCATACTCATCTTGATGCTTCCTCCCGCCTCATCGTAGCTCCTATATATCTCTATCTATATCATTTATTAGTAAGCCACATTAGCAAATTAATGGCCACTCCTTGTTCCCTGTGGTATTCTAATTTGCAACCCCCTGCTAAGTGCTCAGCACATTCATGTGGAAGACATAGGATAGTCAGGATGACTTCGTGACCACCCACCACACCAGCATCCTGAACACTGTCTTTGAGAGAGAGAAACTGCTGGTTCAGACCCCCAAACTCCAACTCGCCCCAGGAAACAAGCCTTGCAGCCACCAGGGCGTTTCCTTTCCCTCCCAGACCTTAGTATCGGATCTTCCTGGTTTTCTTTCATCTCACTCTACAGTTTGCACAGGCTTTAGCATACTTCGTGTGTTCTTCAGGTTTTTAATCTAACAGTGGAAGCAGAACTTTTCTTAGCCTGGTTACAGACCCCCTCCAAGAGGAAGAAGACCCTACGCAAGAGAAAGCCAGGAGGTGGAGGTGAGACACTTTAGTATCTAATTTGGGGAAACCTGGTCAATTCCCAGAGACAGCAGAGCCTGCGTTTGGAGAGGGGGCGGTGGGGGGGGGGGCTGGACGCCGGCGACCCCACGTGACCCCGGGGGCCCGGGGTTGGGTCGACCCCGCCCCTCTGCCTGCCGCCGCCGCCGCCGGGGGGCGCATGCGCAGCCCGTGTTAGTGATGGAGGAGAGAAGATGGCGGAAGCGGAGTGAGTGACTCGCTGGTGACTGATGTCGTAACCGGGGGGCGAATGGGGGCAGCGACACGTCCTCCAAGGGGCAAGCTCAGGGCTGTCTCGCGGGCAGTGCGGGGAAGGGGAGGCCCGAGGGCTTCCTCGTCGTGGAGGAGCCCGCTCGGCCCGCGTCCGGGGGGCGGGGGCGACCTGTGAGGGTCCAGTTACCTCCCGGCGGGAGCGCCCCTTCCACCAGCGGGTCCCGGATCGGCGAGCCCCCGCCCTCAGGGTCACCGCCGGGACCCCCGGCCTCTGGGCTGCAGCCCTGTGGCCCTCCCCCGGGGCTGTCATCCCTGCCGGCGGGCCCCGCGGGCAGCCAGGGGACGGAGCGCGCGCCGGGCCCGCGGAGGCTGGGCTGGGCAGGGCTGGGCGGCCCCGGCCAGGCCTCCTCCTCGCGCCCCTCTGGCACGCTCCGCGCCACCCCCCTCGGCCTCGGTGGGAAACCCCGAGACGGGGGTGCCCGCCGCCCTCCCCCGGGAGGCGCTGGGGAGGTGTCCTCGCGGCGGCGGGGGCTGCTTTGAGGCTGGCCAGGCTGCACCCCCTGGAAGGGAGGCGCTTCCCCGCGGTCCTCGGCTGCGGGCCGCTGCCTCCCCGGGGCCGCGCTCCTGCCGGCGGCGTGATGGTGTGCCCGGGGAGACACGCCGACTTCGTCCGCCCGGTAGGCCTCGGGGGCGCCCACCGCGGCCGCCGGCCGTGCTGCCGGCATAGAACTCCGCAGCGGCCGGTGGAGTTGCAGAAACGGCTCCTTTGTGCCGGGTCTCCAAATGCATGTCAGCGGTTGGGCCGGTTCCGCTCGGCGAGGTGTGGCATCGTGCCGACCGTTTGGGTTCTCTGTGACCGTTTTGGGTTCGTTGCGGAACCGCGTACCCCAGGGCTGGGGGCCGAGGGTCCGGGGGAGCGGAGCGGCACGCGCTGCAAAGGGACCGGCATGGAGGCGGACTCGCGGCCCAGCGCTGGGGCCAGGTTCGGGGCGTTGGGGCAGCCGGTCGTTGGGAAGAAGTTCACCTGATCGACCGCAACGTGTTCCGTTGTTGAGCGGTGACCGTGCGATGCTGTGGTTTGAGTATTGGGATGCAGTCTGAAAACTGCTTAAAAAGCCAGCAGAGAAGCGTAAGGATGTAGGAGTCATTTACGAATCAAAAAAGTAAGTGTAGTCAGCTTTTCCCCATTCACGTTTCCTCTCATTAAATCGGGATTTTTAAAAAGCATATAAATATTATTCACATAAAGGATATAAAGGACAAAGAAAACTTGTACATTAAAGGACAGTGTATGGGAATAGTTGTGTGGGTGCACAATTAGTGCCAAATTCCTTTGTCTTCTCCTGAAGTAGAAAGTGTTCCTATGACATACATTCTTGTCACTGCTGCTAATGTGAGGTCCGCCAGATTTTGTTTCTGGGAAGAAAAGATGGGACAGAAGGGCAGATAAAGCGAGTCTATGCCCTGTGCTCTTTCACCATGGCGGTGCATTTTTCACCCCACACAAAACCCACCTGTAGTTCTAGTTTCTAACAATTTTGAGGCCCTTAGAATTGACTTAAATTGTTTGAATTTATTCAGATATAAATTCTGTATTTAGTAGAACTTTATACAACAGCGAAGTGAGTTCATAATATTAGAAGGGGAAAAATAAGAAAGTCGTGTCCACAAATGTACTTTACTGTCCATTCCTGAGGAAAGTGACATAATTATGCTCTTTTCAAGTTTTAAGACAATTCTTCGTGAAAAAGAGATTTTGGTAAGGAAGTGGGGAAATTGTTGTCAGCTCCTCTCATTATACTTATTAGATGTAGTGAGATTAATTAGGGAAAAAGCTAGTGTGATTTTTTATTAACTTATTTTCTAAAAGAACTTATTTGTAAAGCAAGTATTTATGGTCGCCAAAAATTAAGCTAATTAGCACAAGCCCTTAGGCACCCTATTTTAATGTATAGATAAGAATGATTTGGAAAAAAAAGAGAAAGATTTGAACTTGTAGTTAGTATGGTCAGAAGAATGTAAATATATATTTTAAATTCCCTGATGTTGCTTTAGTTTTTATTTTCCTAGGTAGTTTAGTATTCACTCATCACCTGTTTTGGTATCAAAATACTCATCTTCTTTCAATAATGAAAATAAATTTTAGACCCGGCTTATCTGTGTTACATATCCCGAATAATTTAAATTCAAATTTAGTTGGTATTAAGTATTAAATATGCTATTTATTTGTGAACTACTTTTTCTTTCAACGTGTTTATGGTGACTGTGTGCTATCTGTGTTTTGAGGACCTTCTTAGAAATTTAGACTTGATAATTTCTTTGGAATTATTAAATATTCTTTAAAACCCATAAGATAATGCTTTTGCCAGTACAAACCCTTTGTGTTATCTGCCAGATTTAAGGACCACGGTACAGCTATGGATAGTGAACCAAACCCTGGAACATCTTCTGTGTCGACAACAACCAGTAGCACTACCACTACCACCATCACCACTTCCTCCTCTCGAATGCAGCAACCACAGATTTCAGTCTACAGTGGCTCAGACCGACATGCTGTACAGGTATTTCAGTTATGAAGATGGGTAGGCTAAGACTTAGGATGTCATTATTTTTGCTTATGCCAAATTTTGTTTCATATCCAATGAATTATATGATATCCTCTAAATCAGGGGTCCTCAAACTTTTTAAACAGGGGGCTAGTTCACTGTCCCTCAGACCGTTGGAGGGCCAGACTATAGTTTAAAAAAAAAACTAGTCGGCTGCTAAGCAACAGGCAGCGGCGGCAAAAACACCCGGCAGGCCTGATAAATGTTTTCTGCGGGCAGCATGTGGCCTGTGGGCCGTAGTTTGAGGACCCCTGCTAAGTACAGTTAGAATTATTAATGTTCAAAACACTCAAAAAGTTACTTAATAATTATTCTGTTGAGAGGGCTTACATTTGTCAGCGTGTAGCTTCTTTTAAAAAAATCTTTATTGTTGAAAGTCTTACATAGGTTCTCTTTTTCCCTCCATTTAACCTCTTCTAGTCCGTTCTTATTCCCCTCTCGCCCCCTCCCACCCCTGAGTGTAGCTTTTAAAATATGTAAGGAAAATTATAATTGGAAGGTGTCTAGCTGCTGCTGCTGCAGTATGGAGATATTCAATCTAGAGCCCCAACATACAGAATGGCTCTAGGTTTTTTGGGGTTATTTTATATTTGAACCCATAATATAGACTTAGGGAGATCTATTCAGGTCTGTAGATGTGTTAAGAGGTTCATTTTAAACTTAAGAACCCTAAGGAGAAGGATTCATTCTAAAGCTCTTAGGTGCAGAGGTGGAAAGGAATTCTAAGGGGGAAAAATCTTGGGCTCTTCACTTAGTTGAGAAAATTAAATTTACTTGGTTAACCTTTATAATGAAGTTAAGGCAATATGGTATTGTATATAAAGGACATGGGCATTGCAGTCTGATATGCTCTTTGAATTTCGCTTTCTCATTAGTAGTTATATAATCTTGGGGGGGGGGGAGGCATAATAGCCTCAGGAAACTGTAAAATGAGGATGAGACCACCATTTTATTAGTTATTATGAGGATTAAAGGAAGCATCTAGAACTGTGTGGGCACATTAGATGTACCC